TCAGCATCTGTATTCCTTAATCCTTCCTTTTCTGTCCTTTATCCCTTTGGTGTTTTTATCTCCGTCCGTAGTTTATCCCGTGTCCCGTTCCCAAAGATTTCAGTTTAGAACAACAGTGGAAAAATACCGGCCTCGATGCTTATTTCGTTAATTGAATGTTTCATCACATTAAAAACAATTGTGTAAGTTTCTTAATGGTAGCAGCACTTGTAAAGTAGACCGTGTTGCTATTTGGAGTCATTACTGAGAACTTATATGTCTCTGTGAGCCCAACCAAACGTCCATAAAATCAAACATCAAACTGTATTTTATATATAATATAAATACAGTCTTGCAGTCATTAAAGAGAGAATTTTTTTATGTAGAAGACAAAAGATCCAAAAACTGCTTTGATGTAGGAGGAGTTCCTTTCGGCTATTTACAAATGTATAAGCTTTGATGTTTTATGATTCTTGTCTGTTTTAATTTCTGTTTGCATAAAACAGAACAGTTATATTTGAGGATTTTAAAAGCTGCGTAGTTTAGGCCTGTGTTAATAATACGTACAACCAGGAAGTAACGTTAAATGAGGTAAGAGACAAAACTTAAAAACGAAAGTTGTGTTTTAAAACAGAATTCACCGATCGGAGGCAATCGAGCCGGAGAGAGTTGGGTGTGGTATGAACACGTTTTTATTCTCGTTGTCAATGCATAAGAAGCAAGTAGAATAATAAGGGTTAGAGCTACAGTCTGGTACCGCAGGGCCCCTTCCCAAAATTATTTAATGTGACTGATTTCAAAATGAAGGTAGTACAATGTGAGATTTCGGGTTCTCATGGTGGCGAATATTGAAGACGGCTGTCTTATGGATTGTTCCGCCGTTTAATTCCGACATTTCAGAGGTTCTTGCAGCCTCCATCGTCAGGCGCGACACCCAGAATTCAGCCATCTTCAAAGTAGTTTCATGTTTGTGTTCGACTACTGGAATATGACCCAGATGGTAAACGCAGGTTAGGTTAGGGAGGGCATCCAATACAAACATCAGTCGAGTTACCGGCTATAGTGATGATAAGGGTTCTCGTGGTTTTCCTCAGTCTATTCAATCAGGTGTCCGGAAACCTCTTAAAATAGGCCACGACTCCCTCCTCCGAAGTTCTTACCTGATCGCTCTACATTTGATTTGATTGCAGGCGTATGTAATGTATGGGCCTGAAAATAAATGTCTTAAAACTAAGCAGACTGGGTAATTAAATAATGTTCGCGTCTTAGTTGCTGTTAAATCCTGTAATGGAGTTTTCGGTTTTGAATCAAAGTGACGTTACATCGTCTGCTGATTTATGGACTTTGTATTTACTGCTGTTGGAGTTTACCGTATTTATGAATTACCGTTATAATCTCCAGTTACTTTAAGTAGTTGGCCTTGGCAATTCTCCTGTTAACCTCAAATGTCTCCGTCCTCCTGACAACATATTAATTTTCCTGCTTCATTTGATAGTCTCGCCTTCAAACGTGCGGAATCAGTAAGAGCGAAAATGACTGAGGGGAGGAACCAGGAAAAGCTTGCCACAACTTTCATGAACCGCTTGTAAGAAGATATTTCCCGTCAAGAACGACGGGAACATGTAAAGCACATTCGTATAACCACTTATTTAACTTTGTCACAAATTGAATTATATAAATTAGGATTTGTTTTAATGGATCAGAGCAGAAATTTAAACTGAATGTGATAGATGTGATACTGACGTTAATATGGAAAGGAATTTTCGAACCTTACTGTATTAACGTAATAATAATAATGCATTGATGGAGCAGAGTTCTTTTTGAGAAGCTAATAGTCTGCTCAGCTATTGAAGAAATTCCCCGCCTTTTATGGAACCAGAAGGTTCGTTATGGTGTTCACTAGAGACCGCCATTGTCTCAATAATGATGATAATAGAATGACAGTATGACTCGCCTGTTAGCATGTTACTGCGATGTTTACGATTATGATGATAATGTGAATCCTTTGTCTGGGAGATGCCTTTCAAGGAGTCGTGTCTCACACCCCCCAGTAACAAATGCGATCGAAATAGGTTCGAATGCTTTTGCACACAGTTGTAATCTAAATATAAGACCATGAGATAATTTGTTATGTAAACAATTTCCCTCTGCCATCGCTTTGTGTACAGAAAACAAGGTTGTGGAAGTAAATGCAAATGGCGAAGCCCCCCCAGAAACGAATACACGCGCAACACTGGTTATTACAAAACATATGTCTAGGTGACACGTAGCCGCTGTGATAACGGAATAGAACCGCGCAAAAGAGTCCTCACCATAATCTTCTTCGTCGCAGATGCTGATTTCAACTTTTGACGTTTGTAGATTAATGTTCAGCTGACGCACACAGTTCGGTGAACTGACTGCCCCCACAGTATCCCAGGTGCTGAAGTACAATTATATTTTTTTAAGGTGGTAGTTACGCCGAATGAAAATAAAAAAGTTTTAATAATTATTATTTTATCTGCAAAACTTTATTTATGTATTAATGATAGCTACGTTGTAGCCAAAACATATTTATGTCTTAACATGTGGACATTGTAAGGTGGAATTCGATCATTGTAAAATTTTAAAAATTGAAGTGTGTCTGGCATTTTAATAGAATAGATTAAACGGTCGGTTGTATGAAATATGTACAAGATCCTCGTAGGTGGTTCAGGGCGAAATTGTTTTATTGTTATAATTTTTAACATTCTAAGTTTTTGTCACACGTTCTGTTAAAATATGTCACACATTTCAATTTTAACTAATCTTGATCATATGCCACCTAATGATTGTCAGATGTCAGACCGAAAAATGTTGTGGCTATAATGTAGCTGTAATTAATATATAATTAACGTATAATTGTTGTGTAGACAGAAATAACACTTATTATTTTTCATACAACACAACAGGATACCTCACTTCGAGATTAAAAATGTTCGATAATAACGTTTTTCTTTACAATCAAAATTCAGTGTACGTAACAAAACCAGGGCTTGAATTTTGAATTCAGACATCTGAAGATGCAATCGGATTGAAAACAGATATTCTTTCAAGCGGTTGTAGTAGTTGGTAGATTGATTTAACATATGTCGTGAATTGTTGCAGTTGTGGGAGTGGCTTCGTTATTTTATTTCAGGGGGAAACAATATTGAGATTTGACATAGGCCTGGTACTTTATTAAGTTCTTAGTACAAAAACTAAACCTTTAAAGCAACAAACACAACACAGATTGTTTCTCAGAAAAGTGAACTACAAAATTAATACAACGTAATAAATAGTACAAGTTTCAGGAATATTTATTTTTATGAAGATGTAAGCATGATCTGTCGTTACATACTCCAAAAAAGGGGGATTAGTAGGTAAACTCATAAGAACATATTCATGTAATTTTATCCAACTTTCACCTTTTGTTATGAGTTTGTGCTGTTATGTACTGCACCAGACAATACATAAGAGCTTAGCTTGATCTGGAGGAGAGTGAAGTTAAAATATTATAGTAAAAGTATGTTACATGTTTACCTTGGGTTTTACTCCTAGCAACCAATAGCGGTTTGCAAGGTCGATGCAGACAATACCGTTCTAAGGTAGGCGTCTGTGTTGCTGTTATTTCACCTCCAGATCCAGTTCCACTTGACAACGCCTCGTTTCGCAGATAAAAAAGTCTTTGACAATTGTAGTAATCTGATAATATATAATGTAATACTTTTTTAATAAAATTAAAAAAAAATCGCATGGCATGGACTTTTCTACTCACTTGGGAAAATGATTTTTTAAACTAAAACACGTCTAGTCCCACGTCCTCGAAGCTCGTGAACTTTTCAGAAACGAACAAATAAATTTAACATTATTATTGTTAATTGAATAAAAATTTTCTTGGATATTATCCATCGTCTAGTAAATATAAAACGTAAAACGACGTTTCGGAGATGGGACTTTTTTACTTTGTCCGGAGATAGGGATTAGCTCTATCTAGTGGGCCCAACTGTGTAGGAACCTGAAGACGGAGATAGAGTCCCATCTCCGAAACGTCGTTTTACGTTTTATATTTACTAGACGATGGATAATATCCAAGAAAATTTTTATTCAACAGGGGTGGAATGATTCTGACAGCGGAAAACCGAAGGACTCGTGGAAGAACCTGTCACAATGCTACTTCGCCGATTACAAATCCTACTGGACAGACCTGGTCGCGGACCTGGGCCTCCGCGATGAGAAACCTGCCACTAACTGCCTTTAGCGGAAGTAAGCCTAAGATTGTCTGAGGCCCAACATCTGACACTCTCAGAGAGTTGAGGATTTCACATCGGCGAAGACATTCTTGTTGGTCGTTCGGTCTGTAATGCTGTGTGGACTTGTAGATAGATGCCAAAGTTTCGGAGAAACATATCGCCCCAGTGCTTAAGATGGGTGTGGTATGTTTCTCCGAAATGCTGGTATCTGCCTGAAAGTCCATAAGGCGTTAAGACCCAGAAGACCAGCATTGGTATTCTTTTAACGAAACCAACTTCGCTGTTCGTCATGACGTGGCACTTGGACTCAGAGACACTTCGCACTTTAGTTCATTTACCTGAAGATTTGTAATGCTGTTTGCAATGCAAGCGACAGAATTCTGTTCTTTGTCGCCAGCGTTTGGTGTGGCTTTGCCCCCCTACTCGTTGTTTTCATATCACGCAATCCGGACAGCATGATCTTATCTCCTCCTGCATGTAAACTGGTAATAACACCTGCCCAACAAACAAAATGTCTGTTACGACTGGCGGGAAAGAAATTCTGATTACGAAATTACTTGGTCAACTTTAATAAATAAACTTGGTAGTCTCGAGTTAAGATATTATGTTATTATCATGTGGATGGTTCTGGGTCCGATCCCCAGTCAGATGTGTGTACTGATTTTTCTGTTAACACGAGACATTTTATTTTGTTTATAACCAGTGTTTTAGTACATACTGTTATATACTATCAGAAAAGAATAATAAAAGTGTACTAATTGTTTGTGACAGGAATCTTTGCATATCTGAACTACCTTACTCCAAAGACCCGACGTGAGATTTTGGAACTTCTTGTGAATGGGCTCAAGAGGCTTGAATATCGTGGGTATGATTCTGCTGGAGTGGCTCTAGATGGTGCTGATGGCAAAGATATTTCTATTGTGAAGAAGAGTGGCAAAGTGAAGGCTTTGGAAGATGAGATCCTTGCAAGTAAGTATCTGTGTACCTGAATATCACCATAAGTTGATATAGGAAGATTACTCCATTCCATATCAACAAAGAAAAGCACAATTTCCACCCTGATGGTCTAGGATGTTTACGGGATTTGTGGTGCACGTTCGATGAAGGTTTTGAATGTGTTATAATGGGACCTCCCATTGTTTTTATTTCGTGACATATTTAGGACAGAATAGTACAGAATGTGGAGACAAAGTTTTGAAGATAATGTTAAAATTGAGCATGTTGTTCTCTTATTACTTCGAGTCAGTCAGGGGATTCCACGATCTTAAGAAAAAACTGCAGGGAGTTAATTTCATACATACATATGTAAGCCTATCTATAAGTTTAAGTTTTGTAGGTAGTGAGTCTGTTATCTTATACTAGATTTTAGATATTAAAATTGATTTCCTTTATTTGTGAAAAAAGTGAGTAAAAGCTAACACTAGTCTGAGATAAAATAATCACGTTGAAGAGGAAGGTGTTGCGAAATAAACAGAATAATGAGAGGAAAAATTCCCACTTAATTATAATAAACTAATATACTGTATGTGAGATAAGATAGAATGCATATCACTGTAAAGAGCAATTGATAGACTTGAGATAATATTTTATGTTCTATTTGCAATGTTTCTTCTTCTTCTTCTTCTATGGCTCTCCGGTCCGTATTCGGTCCATGGCCTCCTCAATTCTCAATATTCTTGTTTTCAGGAGTAAAGGAGTTAGATTTTGATGGCACCACAACCTGTCATGTTGGAATTGCTCATACTCGTTGGGCCACGCACGGTGTTCCTAGTGAAGTTAATTCTCATCCCCAACGCTCTGATGCCAACCACGCTTTTCTAGTTGTGCACAATGGTATATTTCTTAGTATAGTTTGTTTTAACTAAATTTGATCAAGTTTGTCTTAATATACATTTTATCTTGAAGCACCGGGTCTCTAATTAAATGATGCTGAAGACCAAATTAACTTATAAATTGCATTTTATCATTCAGGACATCTTTCGATTACCTTTTTTTGTTCATTTGTGATGTGATATTTTGTGAGAAGAGCAAAGATAGAGTGTATCTGAGAACAATCTGTTAAATAAATTAAGTAGATAACAGAATAAGAGTGGAGCAGGAAAAATTACATAAAAGTCATTTTATGCTTTTTACTCTACATTTGTTTAAATTAATTAGAGAACAATACATTTTTATGGTACTGTGCCAAATATATGTTCTGTGCCTGTTTAGGTATTGTTACAAACTACAAGGATTTGAAAATGTTCCTCTTGAAGAAGGGCTACCAGTTTGAATCGGAGACAGACACAGAAGTCATCGCTAAGCTGGTGTACCACATCTATTTGCAGAACCCAAATTGTTCTTTCAGGGAACTGGTAGAGCAAGTGATTCAGCAGCTTGTACGTATCTATAAGACACTGTAGCATACTTACGCAGAAATCTCCAGTTATCATCATCCATTAATGTTTCCACTACAGTTTGTTGTCACCTGACAGATCCTTGTCTGTTACTCGTTCTTTTCTCACATGCATTCCTCTGGTATCTATGGCCACTCTGTCTTGTACGTCTTTTGTCTGTTGGTCTGTCTGCACAGTCTTTGATCTCCCCAATTGTCATTTATTTAATATAATTTTAAATGTTGTGTAATGCATGTCCATACTATTGGATATCTTTAACACAATCAACTTTTCTTATAGTTTTATAATTACATCTTTAACATAATCAACTTTTCTTATAGTTTTATAATTTTGTAACTAGCTGAATGCCATAATTTTAAAGTGCATCTTTTCTGCTTTTTGCTTCTTAATACTCTGTAGGTCCAGTTAGCACTGTAAAATAATGGGAAGACTGGCTGTGTCATAGCACAATTGGTTAGTTGCCAGCTTCTTACCGCTGAGGCCCAGGTTTATGGGAATTATGGCAGACTAAGTGGGGTGGACTATGGGCCCATTAATAATTATAGTTATTTAAGTTTATTAATTAAAATAAGTAACTGTAAGGCAACATAGCATTAATAAATATCAGAATGTTTAAAAACTTTAAAATTGCATCTAGTAACAGTATTGTGTAAAGGAGAAATGAAGGTGACATTACACTGTTTAAACATTCAAGCCACCCGTATTAAAGAATTTAAGAAATGTTTGTGTAAACGGTAATTAATAAAAATTATTTATAATGTGGATTATCCTGCAGATATTATTTGTACGATCAGATTAAAGGGGTGAGATGCGTACTACGTTTTAGTCAGAGATCATGAAAGGAGCAGACCACTTGGGAAATCTGTTATTTGTGGGTGAGACTATAATATTGAAATTAATAACAGAGGGATAGAGTTCAAGGATGTGAACTGGATTTATCTCGCTCAGAATAAGGTCCAGTAGCAGACTCTTGTGAAATGCTAGTGGACTTTTGATTTATTTTAAAAGAATGAGAATTTCTTGATCAGCTGAGCCACTATAAATTTTAAGAAGAACTCTGCTACATGAAGTTAGTGTATTATTAAGTTTTTTTCTCTCAATAATAGAGAATGCATGTGACATGGCATTCATAGTGTGAGAAACTTGGTTTTGTCATATTATGTTGTTATTAGATGCTTGTTTTACTACACTTTTCTTTCGTTTTTAATCCTGAATAGGAAGGAGCATTTGCTTTATGCTTTAAAAGTAAGCATTTCCCTGGAGAATGTGTTGCAACTCGTCGAGGTAGCCCTCTGCTGGTTGGAATAAAAGCTAAGACTCGTCTGGCTACAGATCATGTACCAATTCTGTACAGCAAAGGTAATTTCCACATGTCATTGTTTAGTTTATAGTGCAGCATGTTTCTAAATAATAATTTAGCAGCCAGCATATGTGGTCAAAATAATTGCAATCTTTATACTTCATATTTATCCTTCAACCTTGAGTGAATTCAAATATTTTCACAGGCTACAATCAAGGAAAAACCATTTTGAAAGGTGTCAAGAACTGTGTAGTTCGTTTTCATTCCATTTCTTATAACAAAATTCCTTTTTCAGTTTTGTCTCAAGTGCCAGATCCAGTCTGTTTTGGGCTGCAGTTTGCCCATCTCTCATGTAAAGAGATCCCTAAAATCTCCAGTGATATTCTTCATGTTGGAACTGGGCATTCCTATATGTAAGAATGAATGGCTTATGAAATGCGGAGTTCATCCATTTCTCTCTAGAGAACCATAAACTTTCTATGCTGATGCTAATTGTAATAATTTTGCAATTCAAAACTTCTTCATTAGCCACTAATTTTTTGTTTCATATAATTAATTATAGTAAAGATTATATTATTGAGATTTTGGAAGTGGTGGTATATGCTACCAATAAAAACATGATGTTTCTTTATTATAAATGGTGTTGGTCAATAAACATAAGAAAGTACATTTAAGACTCCTGCTTGAAGTCTCTAGTCTGAAATCAGCTGTACTTTAAATTGCTTGTGTTTGGGATATTTTCTGCATGTGCAGTGATTTTCAGGATCAGAATTTGTAAGGTAGTACATCACAGTTAGTGCTTAAACAATACGTGTAAATATTACGTTATTAAATATTAACGAGTCATTCCATCCCTAATAATTGCCGAGGAAATAACAGCTTTGTTTTATTGAACAGAAAATAGTAATGTTGTTGACTCTAATTAAAACATACGTAGTAGGACATAAGGTGATGTATAATATGTCAGACAGTAAAGTGACTGGCGATAGACTGAACAATGAGGCTTTGATTTCCATAATGGTTTGGAAGCCTCTTCATGGTGTAGTGTGAACTAAAATCTCACTCTTGATATTCTTTTGTACTAAAATTTTCTGTTCACCTATCTTTATGCTAAATTCCTTGTTTGGTAATTTGACAGTTTAATAATTAAAAGATGTATGTGATGATTCATTTGTCTAGAATATTTGGTATCAGTAAAGAATATTTTAAGATTTATTTGTTGAGAGTAAAAGTAAGAGAATAAAATAACATGTTATGTGTATACATTTCAGTTTAAAGATAGGTATAATTCATATTTATTGTTTGTTTAAAACACCATGGCATGGTTATGTAATGCTTTACATACATCAGGTAAGAATAAGTAACTGTTATTACATGGTGCTTCAGAAGTTACAGCACTAAGGAAGTACAAACATTTCTCCATTTGTGCATTTTTGATTTAAAGTAGTTGAATCTGTGCCACTTCTTTATGTTTGTTTAGTTCTAACTTTAACATGGTCATGCTGTCAGGCAGGCGACATAATGGTGAAAGGTATGGCGCTGATGGAAAATGATAGAGGAAATACAGAGTTCCTTAAATATTAACACAATATTGTTACAACTATGTACACATTTTAAATGAATGAATGTCTATAATCATTTATTGTATGGGAGTTGAATACCATCATGGAAAATTTGCTCTTCATTTACACATTACCCAAAACACATCTGCCACAAAAATGGAGAAATAACTGTTTTGAACTGTATCCTTTTAGTACAAATTATTGTCTCTTTGAATGAAACTTGACATTCTCCTGCACTGTGTGTAATGCGTATTCCCTGCACAAATACGCCAATGTGCCTATTTAGGTTGCATGCTGTAATTAAAAAAAGATTATATGTATGGCTTTGCATGTGCTAATAGCATGGTATTTTTGTGATATGTAAAATAATCATTCTCAAAGCTCTTTTACGGGGTCTAGATTTTGTGAATTAGTAGTGTCATACGTACTGCAATTATGCAGTGGTATAAAGTTTGTTAACATAAAGCTGTGTACCTCTGTCATTTGTCTGTTTGTGTGTGTGTAGAGTCGGTGTTCTCTGCTCAGCTAAATCTCATATTTTTGTTTATTTTACAATTTATTTATCAACTGCATAGGTGACACAGCATCAAAGGAAATAAATATCGTGAATGGTGATAAATAAGGAAGGATAAAGAACAAAGTATTTTCAAGGCTTATTTAGGGTCCTCTCATTGGTCTTTGAATTTCTTTGGCAATGGTGTTATGTTATTGCTTTGTTTGTTTGTTTGGACTTTGTCCATCATCTGCTTTTTCAAAAAGTCTAAAAAATTATTAAGACCTTAATATCACTATGTTTGAAAGGTTGGATATTTAGTTTAATCAGTTCAAATGATCTACTGACTTAGTTTTATGTATATTTCTATAGTACAAGATTTTCTTTCTTTGAACAGTATCCATTTACGTAAACTCTTATTCCATCTTACTTTTAAGCTTGCACATCTGGATGTAATTTTTAACCTTTTCAGCGTTGTGGACAGAACATTTCTGTTGTATCGAAGGTACTCTGTGAAGTGTTCCAGCTGTGTTCTGTTGTATGTTAAGTGTGTTATAGTATGAACTGAAATTCCACCCCTTCCCCCCTCCCCCCTCAAACAAAAATTAAGGGCAGGGCATTAACACTTTCATATACCAGTATTACATATGTACATATGAATGTGTGTGTGCACGCGCCTGTGCATGCATGTGAGTTTTAAAGTTAGCGGAGAAACTGCTATATCTTTACATACAATGACAAAATGTTGCATGGATATCTAGTTGGTAGCTGTTGAGTGAATGTCGACTAACATGAAATCATCTTGCATGTTTCTGTTACAAACACTGAACATGTTAATTGTTCTCTTTTCTGTGACAGACCTTATGTAGATGTAGCTTTGAGACTGGACAATATTTGCATTTCTGTGGGCCATAGTACATATATTTTTTGCTTATAATCTTAGGCTTGTCTTTATGTAAATAGACTAACATATTAACCATATCACCTCATTCCATTGTAATTAATTTTATGTGATATTTGTTTTTATTTTTGCATGGTCTGATTGACACCCTTGGCACCCTACAGATGAAAACACTGTAACAACAGGTAGTAGATACTTCAATCTCATACTTTCTTCTCTTTCTTCTTTAAGTACTTGATATAGCTGTTTCTTTAAAATTCTGTTCTTATTTTCTGATAACTTTTCTTCTTTGTAATGTTTTCTTAACATAGTATTACTTATGTTACCCATAATCTGAATTAAGAACCATAAATCTCTAACATAACTGCAGTGAAGAAATGACCTCTTTTGAAGTATAATTTAAAATATTTTTCTGGGGATGATAGTTATAATTTGAGGTATTTTATGATTTGTCAGGATTTTTCATATTTATTAATAATTACATTCATCCACTTATACAGAAAATAAGGAGGTGTTCTTTACATCTGTTTTGCAATTATGGTGATATGTTTTGACAATTCATTTTCAGCTTCTGGCTGCTGTAGTACATTTAATGGGAGTCCTGCATAATTATTATTCTCATTGCTGGTTGCTCTTTTGTGTCCTGGACACACACTTATGATGGTAATGAGCACCAGAAACTATATGAAAGTTTGTAGTGTGAATGCAACATCTTCTGTCTGACATTATTTTCTGGTCTTTACTCTGATAAGCGCTTGTTCCTTTCTCTCTCAATCAATTTGTATCTTATTTCTCTACTAAATTTTCTGTGACTAATTAACAATGTAAATAATACTTTGTATAGTCTGTCTGTGATATATGAGATTGGTTTTTAATTCAGATAATAAAATCTTTAGGGTATCTAATAGTTCTTCTTTATTCTTTAATAACTAATGTTGTACTTTTGGTGCGTTCTTACTTATCTCACTGTGTCAGTTCTTATCTGTAATAAATGTGGGCAATTTTATCCATTACAATTATATCCCGTGTTCTAATATTGATGTACTCCAACTTTAATATGTGTGAATCACTGAGCTGTCTATATACGGTTGCAGTTAATATCTGAATGTCCTGGCTGAAATTATCTGAAAATAAATTTATATTCAGCTTATCACAGTAACTTTTATTTCACCAGGATTACATATTACATACTACAGAATATATTTTCTAAAAATCAGTTGTTAGAAATTCTTGACCTTAATTTCTGTCTTAAGTAATCATTGTTGGCAAAATGCAAGTGTCAGGATGTAAGGATGTGTACTGAAATTGTAACAGTGGTTATAATATATGGGCATTTATGTAGACTAGATTTTAGTAGAGGGTTTTCAAATGTTTTGTTTTATAAATGTTTTAGTCCAGCAATTAAAGATTCTCCTAAACGTGCTTTGAACTAGAAAGTTTAATCTCAACCAGCACAACAGCCCTACAACTCACCTGCTGACATTTTAATTTATACTGATTTGTGATTACTTGATTATTCAAAATATACCTTATAAAACTTTGCCTTAATGAGCAGTAGAGTGGTTGTGCTGTTAATGGGTTTAGTTTTTTTGTCTTGTGCTTGTTTTTATTTTATGTATGGAGGTCTATTTATGCATGCCCATGATGTTTCGTTTTGCATGATATTTTGGTATGTTGCACTAATTTTCATATTTCTCTGTTTCATTTTTGTTAAACAATCTGTTCCTGACCTTCCATTAGATGCAGAATCACAAAACCCAGGTACAAACTACATTTTTAATTTGTTTAAAATCTTCCTAAATTCTGTCTTTATTTTCTGTCTGTGCTTCTAAGTTTGCTTTTCAGTGTCAAAAGTCATAACCATATCATTTTATAGGAATCCATGTAATTTACACTCGAGTCTGTAACTACATATATAAGTAACTAATTGAAACTAAACTGATTTTGAGCAACATAATTTCCCGTTTCCATAAAGGAACAATCAGAAGTGTACCAAAAAAATTAAAGTTGTCAGAATTAACCTTTATCCTCCAGGAATAGGGGATTTAAATCTCATACTAGGCTGCTCGTGGCTCGATTTTAACCTCGGGTTTAATGATTTAACGGTACCTGCTGTGATGCAAGGCCAGATGAATAAGACATGAGCCAAGACACAAAGGTGATAAAGGTTAATTTGTCTGATGATGGAGGCAGCAAGGACCTCTGAAACATTGGTAAACATCTACCAGAATATGCAGTACTGCAACCCAAAAGACAGCCAGCTTTCTACTTGCTGCCATGAGAACTAGAAATCTTACAAATGTAAAATCTATTTTCTTTGCAATATTACAAATTTTTGCATCAGTTTGCTCTCTTTGTTCTTAACAACAAATGCAAAAGTTCTTTTATATTTCTAATGACATAAATGATTCTGAATAATTTTTGCCTCTGAACTGATATGGTTATGAGCTACAGCATGTGCTTTGCCTTATACTGCATTATGCTTAGAGCTTGAATTGTTGTATACACACACTAAAATGTATAAATGACATAAGTAATTTTATGATTCATTCTGTAATTATTTTTTTATTGAAGGAATCTTTCTAATTATTGTGGGTCTGGATGTGATTTTTTCCTAGGTAAGAATACTGTAACAGTTTAAATTTCTTATGTAATATCTCCATCATATTGGTAAGTTAAGATTAGAGTATACAATTTGAAATATGTCTTACAGAAATTAAATATCTTCTGTTGACACAGTAGATATTTATACAGTTAAGTAAAAAAATTATAAAAGGAAAATATTGTTCTTTTTTTGTTAGTTTCCAATAATAAATATTATGAATAAAATAGAAATACAGTGGTATCACGCAGAATTAACACTCTGTAGCTCCTGAAGAGTTGCCATGTAAATCCACTTCATTTCTGATCTGAAACGTAGGTTTTGTGGTATGGTAGAGGTTAGATAGTTCTGAAGCATTTTTATTGGATGAACTTAATCCTTTTTCATGGATAATTTGTGATTATGCTGAAGTGGATGGACCTTCAGAAGATAGGAAGGGTCATTCTGCTTTGTGCCAGCACTGGGATAATGGTAAGGGGGATAATTTTATCTCTTATTCTGTTTAATAGTGCAGATATGTGTTTTGTACAGGAAGTATATCTCCATATGTCTTCCAGGAAAATGTTTCAAAAGCAAAAGAAAACAGGAATCTCTTGGAGCATTTTGGTGGTTGGTTTCTTATGCAGGCTGTATTAGATATTTCCTGTGGTATCTAAGGGTTGTCTGTGGTCATGGATAAATTTTGTGGCTCTTCACATCTGGATGACTGAGATATGCTGTTACTACCATTCAGTGTACTTAATCACTTTCCTTCCACCAAGTAACAAAATTTAGTGTTCTACTCACTGGTGAATGGACTGTCCTTAAATAAGAAGTTTATATTTCTGTAGACCTTTGTTTGATAAGCCTTTTAATTGTGAGGTAAATTTTACATTATAAAAATATATTTTCTTACTGTTTGAATTAATTTGTGGCATATACCAGGGACAGCTTTATTTTTACAGTATTGTAGAAAAAACACCTCTGTGTTACAGTTTTACTTAGAAAGTGTCAGCAATGAAGAGCATATTCATGCTTGTGTAAAGTAGTGGTCTATTGAGTTTCATCACTGGGTGCTATCATTTTATAATAATGGAAAGGTACTGTCAGTATGTTAACATTAACTTTAAAAAATGGGAAGAACTATAAGAAAGTTTATTTATTAATTAATATTGTCAATCTCTGTCAACTAGCTGATTAAATCAACCTATCTCAGGTGAGTGAGTGAACATTTCTCAGGCCCTGGTTGTAATAATTAAGATGATGACATTGATGTTGATGCATGAAGATTATTATTAACATATTCATGTCTTGGAATTTAAGGAGATTTTGTTAAAATTGAATACAAAGTGCCATATCTGATTTTAAAGTTTAAAGTCTTTTTGGGAATTTTCTATAAATTTTTTTATTTAAAAAGTCTTACAGTACACTGCAGCATATCTTTAGTTCATCTGGATGATTCCTTAACACATTAACCTCTCACTCGCTTTCTGTAGTCGTTCTGATATTAGCTATATAGTATATTGTCTACAGACCACCGACCACATGGCAGAGGTGACTTGCCGATTCTTCCCCGTTCTGACTCAACGGCAGAGTTCCAGCCCCTGGAAGATAAGGAAGTGGAATACTTCTTTGCTTCGGATGCTAGCGCTGTCATTGAGCATACAAACAAGGTTATCTTCTTGGAGGTGAGCTAGTGATTCCATCACAGGACTCAGATTTTTAAGTGTGAATGAATTTTTAACTTTTTGGCGTAAATACGTTTATACAGAAGGGTCATTCGGCAAAAACAGCATTACGAAGATGTGTAGGATCCATACCAACAATGTGTAAATATGGACCAACCAACCAACCAACCAAAGAAGCTAACTGAGGGCGGAGGCCTGCGCAAGCGCAAGCATCGTCCCTACCTAGGTGAAACCATTCCTGCGCACAAGACGCATTGCTGGAAATGGTAAACGGTCGTAATATAAGAACGGAAATTTTGCTAACGCTAACGGGGTTTCGTCGTGGCGGGAGCCTCGACCATTCAAACTGGGATGTAAATATGGACTGACAGTGGTCAGCTTTTATATGAACTCCTGCGTGCATAACAATGCTTTACTCCTTTACCTAAGAAACTAATTGTTATGTCATCTGTTTATTCGGCATTGTTGTGTTACATTACTGCCGTCAACAATCCGATTTCGTTATTGCGGAAAGAGCTGAGCTGTGAATCGCTTGTACTTATCTTATATAAGAATTATTAAGAAATCTGTGATACTGCCCTCCACTCTCTCCATTTTAGTTTTGATTAAATTGATCATTGCCGGTGGACATCACGGTCTCTTAGAATTGAACAAAGTTTGAGGTAAGGGATTCCTATTTATTACTATTGTTAATCACATTTAATGTTTTCATCTGGTTCCACTGTCAATTTTTTAACTATGTAAGGAGGACTGAGTTTCCCACTGGTTCTCCAAGTGGAGGGCTAAAATTTTGAATAGTTAGCAATAATTTAGAAAGTGTTCAAAATATCGTTTATGGATGACTTCTGCTGCTAGTACAAGCGATAATTTCTTAATCACCAAATTTCTGTCTTTTAACTAACTGTGTGCAGAAAAAGTACATTTTCATCCTCTCATGAAATAACATACATTTATTCTATTCTGAGATTTATTTTAGTTTCCAAAATTGTCTTGGTATTGCTTCCTTTATATTAGAACACACTCATTTTTATAATGGAACTTTTAAGAATTATATAATTTTCAGGATGATGATGTAGCTGCAGTGAAGGAAGGCTCCTTAAGTATTCATCGACTTAGAAGATCACTTGATGACTCACATTCTCGTGAAATCATCACACTTAAAATGGAAATCCAGCAAATTATGAAAGGTATAGCTGCATAATAGAACATTGTTTCTAAAATTGGGGTTTCCTGTTTGTCAGCTACATTTTAAAATTGCCAGTGCCTAAAAATTCCGATATAGCAAACCACTCTGACGACCTGTGCCTTAAGCCCCAGCAATTAATTATCATATGCTTTTAAATGCCTGGCAGTGGATGTGTCAAGATCAGAAAAATGCAGTCTTAAATCAGTTATTATATTTTTAATTTATGTTACAGGAAACTACAGCTCATTTATGCAGAAAGAAATTTTTGAACAACCGGAGTCTGTAGTGAACACCATGAGAGGACGTCTTAACTTTGAGACTCAGGCTGTTATTCTTGGTGGTATAAAGGTAAGTTAGTATTAAAATTCATTTGCCTTAAAATAATATTGGCACACAAAAACTATGATGTTATACATTTTGCATATCCCAAAGAGTTCACAAACCAGAGCTTATGATATACTTGTCTTTATTGATGCTAAATTATCTTTACAGCTGATATAATTAAGACTGATTCATGGATTATTTAATTATATTTTATCAACAATGCACATTATTTAGCATTTATGGTAGGATTACTGTGAATTGGAAAGGGCATGGGAGGTACAGTCTGTTTGAAGCTACCATCCCAGTATCTTTCTGGAGGTACTGAGGAAAATGACAAAAATATGGTGTCTGTGGACCAAGATGGGAACCCAGGACCTTCTGAACGTGAAAAAAGAGAACCACCCACTCAGTAATGATGTTTCTTGAGCATAATTAGATAATATTAATCAGTTGTCTTATGTAAACACACATTTATAATTTGCTACCCATATTTTATGTTATGTTTACCTACAGGAATACATACCTGAAATCCGCCGCTGCAGACGCTTGATGATTATTGGATGTGGAACAAGCTATCATAGTGCAGTTGCAACAAGACAGCTGCTGGAGGAACTCACAGAACTTCCAGTTATGGTAGAATTGGCATCTGACTTTCTTGATAGAAACACTCCTGTGTTCAGAGATGATGTTTGTTTTTTCATATCACAGTCTGGTAAGTGCAGTGGGGTAACCCTTGGTACAGTACAAAAGGTTCACAGAAAATCTATGTGCTGTTAAAATGCCGTGCAAAATACTGTTTAATGCAAGTTCAAAAGCATCTCACTTACTTTAATAGGACAGCGAAAGGAGTCACTTCTTGAGGTTACATCTGAACTGTGTAGTATAATAGGAATCTGTAATATGCTGAAAGCAATTATGCACATAAAGGACCATTAATTACATAAGTTTCAAATACAATAAGAAAAACAGTTGTATTTTTAATATGCTTAACTCTGCAGTGATCCAAGTGGTTATGAAATTAATAACTATAGGCTTTCATCACAAGCAGTCGTCCTCAATCAGCCTGTGACTACGTGAGTCTCATCTGCATTTTGATAAAAGGACATACCAGTTTTTGCTGCCACTGCACTAGACAACAATACTTTTTTACATTTTAAGGTGAAACAGCGGACACACTAATGGCTCTTCGTTACTGTAAGAATCGTGGAGCTCTCATTGTCGGCATCACCAACACAGTCGGCAGCTCCATCTGTAGAGAGTCACATTGTGGTGTTCACATCAATGCTGGCCCTGAGATTGGTGTCGCATCAACCAAAGCTTATACTTCACAGTTCATCTCGCTTGTAATGTTTGCTCTGGTTATGAGCGAAGATAGGATATCTCTCCAGGCTCGCCGATCAGAGGTATGTATGTCTGAATTGTTGACTTGTCACACTTATTATCCCATGCATATATTACGCAAAGCAAAGCTGAGTTTACGTTTGGTTTTACACTGTCGCTACCATGGTAGTATAGGACCTAGTTGGTAAATGCTGTGCTGCCATTATGCCATAACTTATTTCATTTCAGATTATCAAGGGGTTGCAGCATCTGCATGAACAGATTAGAGAGGTTTTGAATCTTGACGAGCAAGTGAAAGAACTAGCTAAAGACCTGTACCAACACAAATCATTGCTTATCATGGGACGAGGCTATAATTATGCAACATGTATGGAAGGAGCTCTTGTGAGTACATGTTCTTCATGTGACAATAAAACTAAGGTATCTCTTCTTCTTCTATGGCTCTCTGGTCCGTGTTTGGTCCATGGCCTCCTCAATTCTTCTCTTCCATTCGGTCTTCTGTTAGGTCCGTCTGTCCGAGGCTTTGATTGAGGTTTCGAAACATCTTCCTTTTTACGGTGCAAGGTCGTTAGCCTTGCGACCAACCCCCAACCTGGAGGACCAGGGTACCTGTCTTAGTCTGACCTCTCCCCCTCGACCAATCTGGCTAGGGAGGCCCTACCAGTAGCTATGCTACTGCCAGCATAGGTCGTGGAGTCACTGAGGTACTCAAGCCCCACCACCACGACAAGGTGCAGGTACTATTAAGTGGGGCCCATCCATTATGGAACGTTGGTTGCTGCTTCCATGTTTAAAACGCAACACTCTCTGCGAGCGATCCGGGGACTTTCCTCAAGACAGTTGAGCTACAAAGAGCTCTGGGTGTAGTCTCGAAGCAAGGATCGACAGAACTCAAGGTATCTCTATAAACGTTAATTAGATAATGGAGAAATACAGCTGACAGAAACAGTGTTCTGTAAATACCACCTTTAAAACATATTTAAGAGCCCCTGTTTTTCTCTCATTGTCATACATTGTTGTGTTCTATGGGATGGGTTGTATCTTTGCCTACTTCCCTCCTCTCTTTTGTTGCATTTCCTCATCTGGTCTCCTACCCTGTGCTTCTTTACTGTTATGTAAATTAAGCTAACTCCTTATATGATAGATTTTGTATATTTTAATTACAAACTTTTTCAGACTGAATTTTAACATCTTTTTAATGTTATGTAGTCTGTTGATATACCAAATTACATATGGTTGAGGAGGACTGCCTCATGTTGTCTGTTCATGATAGTTTATTCAATATATTTGTAACTACACCACAGCATATCAGAATCATGTCTTCCATCTGCAATCATAAGACATGCCATGCTCTTTGTGACAAATAAAAATATGTAAATTCTATTTCAGTTCAGTTTTTAAAGAGAGAGAAAATGTACTGATAGATTTACAATTAAACTTGAAAAGGCATTACTACATAAAATATTCTGCAACGGCATCACAGATTTCGGTTTACAGGTGGAACACAGTTCCGATAAGAAACATTTTCTTTCATTTGCAGAAAGTAAAAGAATTGACGTACATGCACAGTGAAGGTATCATGGCTGGAGAACTGAAACACGGACCTCTTGCACTTGTTGATAATAAAATGCCTGTTATCATGATTGTCACAAGAGATCCTGTTTATGTGGTGAGTGTCAGATTCATATGAAGCTTTTCAATACAAGCTACCATGACATCAAACATAATATAACAATTTTATTGAGATATATGTGGACATTTCTTGCTTCATGATATTGCTGTAACTCTGATAGAGTAATAACATGCATGAGAGAATGTAAATGTTCCAGTCTGTGTATAGAACCATTAATTGTACATTGAAAAACAAAAGAAGAAAGTATAGAAAGTAACAGTTTACTCCAGACTTCTTATGGTACTGAAGATGATGAAGTCTGGGAAATCAAAGGGAAGAATGATTGATCAGAACCTGGATCAGGCTGTAGTGCTTACTGTATGAATTGGAAAAGAAAAAAGAATGACTGTTTCCGATATTTACAGAAATGCATGAATGCCCTGCAGCAAGTAACAGCACGTGAAGGAAGGCCCATAATCATATGTGAGAAGGGAGATAAGGAGACCAAAAGTTTTGCATCCAGAACACTTGAGGTTCCACATACTGTGGATTGTCTTCAGGTCAGTCATTATGGTTCTGGCTATAAATTTTGTAACATTGATTGTAATAGTCATTCAGACAGGTCTATGGCTGGCCTTGTAGTAACAAATCTGATTCTCATTCAGAGGAGATCTGGTTTATTTCATGGTCAAATAGAGAAACAGATTTTTTTTGTACACAGATCAAAGTTTAATTCTTTCGGAGTGTGGAATACACCCCATGTGGGTTGGAGCCTTAGTTAAACTGTCAGTACAGTAGACCATTCATTACTCTCACTATCATTGTATTCACTGGGAGTAGCAGAATTTACCTCATGGACAACTAGTTTTTGAGATGGGTTCCTTCAATTTTCTGGTCTAGCAGATGCAAGCAGTTTTGCTTAAACCATAGCTTTTGGTGAGATTTGAGCTTTTTTTTTTTTGTGGTGGTGAGGTTGAAGAGTTTTGTTTCGTGGTTTTATACATCATGCAGTCTTATAGGGTTTTGCCAACGTTTCAGAGGAGTGTACTGCCTCTTTGTACAAGGTACAAATTTATAGCCTGAAGATAGAGCCAGCATGTTTCTCTGAAAAATTGGCAACCACCTAACAGACTGCTCGGTGTTGCAACCCACAAGACGACAATCATGCTGGTAATTGTGGGTGTTTGCTACTGGCAAACAAACATTTATCTTATGCATAACATATCTGCTTTTGCAAATTTATTGTGAAATATTTAATGTGCTGCATACTGAGCAAGAAAACTGGTAACAGTTTTGTCTAAATCAATAAATTGATTATTTTAAAAAGCCTAGCAATGCTTGGACATTGGAAATTGTCATGTCCCAGAGTGGAAATTAGTTAACTGGTTTGAAAGTTTAATAACATATGTCCTTTCTTGTTCCAGGGTATTTTGACTGTTATCCCAATGCAGCTTCTTTCTTATCATATTGCTGTACTCAGAGGTTGTAATGTGGATTGTCCAAGGAACTTGGCAAAATCTGTCACTGTGGAATAATAGCCATGTCTATGTTCAAGTAGCTGATTTAGCACTGAAAGAAAGAAGATGAACTATTTGTACTTTACATCTGATCATGTACATAATCTGTCTTGACATCGATTAACAATTTCAAAATTTATATATTCTGTTGATTTTATGTTTTGGAAAATATGAATGATGTTAAAAATGTACAGTGAAATCTGGAAAGTTTATAAATACTGTGTGTTGGCCAAATTGCATGAAATTCTGTGCTAAAAGGACAGACTATGGTGAATTGGTGATCTACTTAGGTTGATTACCCTTCTATAGTACCACAAGTGGTTAACAGGCATATTACTGTGAAGTATAATAATCTGTGTTTACGTTGTCTGTCCTCTTGGATTCTGTATCACTTTGCATTACTAAAATAGTAATTGTTCTTGTAAATCCATTCCTTCCTATTTAGTTGAAATGGCAATACATATAATTTATAATGGTAAATTCTATTGGTGGCCAAATGACTATAGTTTTGTAAGTAAAATGGATACTAATGGGTTGCATTTTGGGCATCTATGGATACATTTCTTGTTTGACATAAAAGATTCATTTTTGTTTAATAGTAATATACATTCTGTAAATAACTAGTGGTATAGTATGCATGTTGGTTATGTGAGTGTGTATGTGTATTGAATGCATTTGTATATGTGTGACAGGTTTGTAGATGAATTATGTTGTGTGCTTTTATGACTTGGAAACAATGAATAGATGATCATTAAGCAGCAGGTGTTAACATATAGTCAGTAGCATATTAATAAGGGATCAATCAGGTTTATAAATCAACATTTATATCTAAAATTTGTTTAGAGATCAGTACATAATCATTTGGATATTAATTTAAATGTGTTTTAATTAATACAGACATTATTTAGCACTGTTAACTGGTAGATAGTTGCATGAGTTAATATTGTCCAAGAAGTATGAAAATAGAAAAATTGATATTTTGTGCAGTATGTAAGATACATTTTATAACTGTTCTGCCAGAGGCATTTCCAATTTAACTCATTGCTTTAAATCATGAATATTTGTATATATAACTCATTTTATTTGGACTGTGGTATATTTCCTCTTCGCTTTACCCTAAAATAAAGCTGTTATATTTCTTGTGAAAAGTTTTTAAGTTTTAAATACATTCCAGTAAGAGATTTAGATAATAAAGTTTTGTTTAAATATTTTGTTTTCTTTTATTCTCCCTCCATCTTAATAAATATGAACCCTTTGAGTGTTATGTAAATGGTTATAGTAGCTGTCATTATGTTCCATATTTCAAGGTTACAGAAATATTGTACAATGTTGCAACACCAACAGTGGAACACAGACCACTTCAGCAGAGATGAACATTTTGTGGGACTTTGTGTATCAGCCTGCTACAACATTTTCATTTGTAAATAGATCAATGAGAGATTCTGACCACTGCATTCTACAGTTCTTCATTACCATAAAAGTATGTTTATGTTACACTTACTATTGCATTTTATTATTTTAATAAATGATGAAATCTTGTTCAGCATTTTGAATTAATGTTCATGGCATAAGTAAAAATATACACTGCTATGATTTTATGTTCTCTTTACCATGTACACTGGCTATGAAATTTAGTTCAAGTTTCAGACATTATCCATATCCTAGAATTTCAGTTTATGAGAAAACTAAGTTTATGATTGTATGTTGAATACACGTGGTAATTTTGCCCTCTGACTAGTCAGCTTACTTAGAAATATCCTTGAAGAATGCATTTAAAATAATCTACTTCTTCTGATTTCTCATGTGAGATTTTCCCAGTACTTGACTCATGATGTAACAGTTAAGGATATTTCAGATTGATTTTTCCTATCACTACACTGCGTTAAACAGTTTATCATATGACAATTTATAAACTATAGAACTTGTGAAAACAGAGTAATGGGCTAAAAATTGCAGCTCAGAAATGACATGACATGATTATATGACCACTTGCATAAGAGTGCACAGAAATCAAATCTTTACTTTTTGTTCTTTTCTGATAGTATTAACTATATGGTTGTTAGGCCATGCAACATGTTAGCAACATTTGTTGTAACTAAATAGGGGGTTTAATTCCCTGTTATATGTAGTTGGTGGCTGAACTGGCATTAATGGTTTTGCACTTAGCTAGACTAAATGATGTATGAGCCTTTGAACAACATTCCAAAAAATTGTTTGAGTGTTCTGTCTGAGTCCTCTCTGTAAATGTGACTATGAAATATGATCTGGTAGCTTTGATTGCATGTCCATGTGTTAATTTTATGAATATGACACATATAAGTAAAATTCTGGTTTCTGGTTTTGTTCAGAAGAAAAATTTCTTTTGGAGCTTTTTTTAATCGTCTCATTATTATTTGGCTAATAAAATGACCATCATGTTGAAAGCCCCTCCACCGCACCAATATTGCAATGTTGGTAATTTACACTGCTACTCTTCATTGGTGGGAGGGAATACGTAGTGCTTTTTCTCGATAGTTGGTGCTCCTGCCTCAGTTTTACACTATTGACGTCAAGATAATCATTATTTAAATTCAATGTATAGTGAAATTATAAGAATTTGCAGTTAAAATCTTTTCTTTACATAAGTATACAGTATTATATATTTTTTGTTTGCAAAACTATGAACAGTAACTATTCTCATTTTCAACGTAGTATTATCGATTATATTCGAACTCTCAGTTGCCCAGCGTAGTGTGTTCGTTTTCAGTAGTGAAGTAAATATTGTAGTTCTCGGTATGGCTGCTCCAGCAGCTTGTACTCGTTTCAGTGATAATTATGAGCTCAAGGAGGAACTAGGAAAGTAAGTTAATGCAGTCGTATTATCTTCTTCTTGTATTTAAATGTGTTATTGCTTCTACATGTCCTTTCAGCTGCTTGGTCCAGTGCCAGTGCTTAAAGCAGACGACGCTCCACCTTCCGTTGCGGGATTTTTTTGACGGTGGGAGGGCGAGGGGGTTATCTAGTCACCCAGAAAATTTAGTTTTATTGTAGCGGCATATAATTAAGAATATGT